TTTTCATAAAACCACGAGAAATTGTTCTTGGTAAAAACTAAAAGTTATTTTTTATCAAAACTTTAAATATTGTTTTCTCAAAAACTAAAAGTTATTTTTCAAAACGGGTTGGTTCATTGGAAAGAGGACACTTTTATTAACACTTTGGAAAATTTTCATACTCATATTCCAAGAAATCGATTTTATACGAATTTTTAAAACTTAATCGGCGAAAATTGCAAAATTTGAAAGACTTGTCGATCATTTCAAAAATTAATTTCTCAAAAACTAAAAGTGATGTTTCAAAACGGCTTTTTGCATTAAAAAGAAGATACTTTAATTAATAATTGGTGATATTTCCACAAGGATCCTTCAATAAATTAATTTTATAGCGAATTTTGAAAGTTATCGATAAAAATTGCAACATCGAAAATTTTATCAAAACTTTAAATATTGTTTTCTCAAAAATTAAGTTTTAAATTTCATTTAGGCAGAAGTTTAATCCATTTAGAAATTATGACGTAAAAGTTCTTGCTGCAGACACTGCTGATATAAAAACACAGTTAGAGGCAGAAAAGAAACTACATCTCCTTAAAGTTGGAATATTTTATAAAGACAAAAGAAAAAATTGCACTTGCTATGGTTATTGCAGCTGGCGATTTTCTGCATTTATGCTGCCAGCTTAAATACAAGCTTATTTGTATGACGAGTTGATTCATTTTATTGCAAAAGTGACATATTTTTTCAGACAACTGCAAAACACTGTTTTTGTATATTCTGGTAAAAAATGGGACGATTTAAAGTTTTCTCCCCTGTGATAGGACTTTTGGGAGGATAACGAGGAAAATATATTTGCCCCAAGAATATGCCAGAATCATTACTTTGAAATTGATGATTTTTGCCTCACCCGGTATATATTTTATGAAAACTTAAAGATATAAAACAATTTCGCTGTTGCTGTTAATAATTAAGATTGTTGAAAACATTTCTCCGGTTCGTTGATGAACGTTGAATAATTTAATAGGATGTTGAGTGCGAGAATAGTGGAGCAAAATATTTACAAATTGAAAAGCTTTCGTAAGGCAGAAAAAGGGAGTATCGTGCGTTTTCGATTTGCACTTGTGTCGAGTGTATTTTGCGCCCTGTCGACATCCTCTTATAAAAGGACGCGTTCCTTTCTTCCTAAACCCTTTTTTTATAACCGCCATCGGGTTAAAGTGCCAATTTGTCCCCTCGTAAAAGTTGCCATTAACAAACCGTACATTTTCTGATGATAAATATTTCGAAGCAATTTTTCAAGTTTCTTTTGAATTTGTTAAGACGTAAACAGAACCGGAGCGTCCCTATCGATTTTGTATTGGATCGAGGTCGCTTATTCGGATGTGACACAGATTTGGGCTCACCTATGAAGGAAACGTTCCGGAGAAACTTCTGCAATTCCGGACCTAGAGGGGCTGGACGCAACGCTTCGCAGAGGTGGAATGAGTTCATTCCACAAACTGACCTTATTATTGCGTGGATTGCATGTGCTGCTGCGTATACAGCATCCACTACAACAAAAATTTCATTTATGATAATTATTAAAGATTTTTTTTAAATTGCTGATTCAAGTTATCTCTTAAAACGAGTAAAAATCAACCTGCAAATTGCAAATTTAAAAATCACCCTTAGATTACCAGAGCACCCGCGGGCGTTTACTTAAACTCGTAGCTTGACTTTTCGGCACTAAAACTTGGAGAAAAGTTAGTTTTTACGAAGAAAATCCAACTGGAGAAAAAAGGGGCAAATAAATATTTGTATCGATTTTTCAACTCACCTACAAACGGGACCAATCCCTCCTGTTCGTAGTCCGCTAAATCTTCTCGACCCGTGCAGAGAGACTTCGTCGGCGACTTCGACTTCTCGAAAGTGCATTTGTTATGCTGGCTCCAGAACTCCCTAAACCAAGAGTTTCGACAGTTGACAAGTAGCCCAGGAGTGGCGTGGGGTATATTGGAGCCAGCGGAGATATTACATGAATCGGTATCCATTTTCGGGCGAAGGGACGAGTAATACGTGTCGAACTCTAAAAAGTTTAAAAACCACACTTAATTAGCATTACTTGTGCTTTAGACAGTTATACCAAAGCAACCGTCGTCTAATTCAAACTCTCCCCAACCATCAACTACAGATAACTATGTGGGATAAAATTAATGTAAACGACAGAATTTCAGAAATATTAATGTAATATATATAATGTATGAATATATCCTTAACCCTAAGATGCATAAAATGTTCTAAACACGTCTTTATTCAATACACACTTGATTCAAAAAGATTCAAGTATAATTAGCAGGGCACGAAACTTTTGTAACAAAACGATTTCCCCCCTCCACTCGTTCTCAGAAAATCTTGATTAAAAGAACAGCATAGGAAATTAAAATTTCAAGTTAGAAAAAAATTGTGTTAACAAACACTGTTCCTGAAGTAATTCTAAACAAATTTTGTTAACAAAAGTTTTTGATTAAATCAACAATAAGGATGCTAATTTTTGTAGCATACTGTTCAGTGGGAAATTAAAATTTCAAGTTAAAAAAAAATTGTGTTAACAAAAATTGTTCCTGAAACAATTCTAAACAAACTTTGTCAAGAATTTTTTTTGATTTAATCAATAATTAAGGAGATAACCTCAAAATAATAATTTTTCCGTTTTTATACATAATTATACTTAGATGCTTAATTAATAGAGATGTAAAAATTTTTTATTAAGATAATTGATTCAAAATCGAAATTGAAACAAATTTTATTTAAAACATTTTTTGATAAAAACAATAATTATTGAGATAATTAATTTTGATAGCATACTATTCAGAGGGAAATTAAAATTTCAAGTTAGCAAAAAATTGTATTAACAAACACTGTTCCTGAAGTAATTCTAAACAAATTTTGTTAACAACATTTTTTGATTAAATCAACAATAAGGATATAACCTCAAAAATATTAATTTTTGTAGCATACTGTTCAGTGGGAAATTAAAATTTCAAGTTAGAAAAAAATTGTGTTAACAAAAATTGTTCCTGAAACAATTCTAAACAAACTTTGTCAACAATTTTTTTTGATTTAATCAATAATTAAGGAGATAACCTCAAAATAATAATTTTTCCGTTTTTATACATAATTATACTTAGATGCTTAATTAATAGAGATGTAAAAATTTTTTATTAAGATAATTGATTCAAAATCGAAATTGAAACAAATTTTATTTAAAACATTTTTTGATAAAAACAATAATTATTGAGATAATTAATTTTGATAGCATACTATTCAGAGGGAAATTAAAATTTCAAGTTAGCAAAAAATTGTATTAACAAACACTGTTCCTGAAGTAATTCTAAACAAATTTTGTTAACAACATTTTTTGATTAAATCAACAATAAGGATATAACCTCAAAAATATTAATTTTTGTAGCATACTGTTCAGTGGGAAATTAAAATTTCAAGTTAGAAAAAAATTGTGTTAACAAAAATTGTTCCTGAAACAATTCTAAACAAACTTTGTCAACAATTTTTTTTGATTTAATCAATAATTAAGGAGATAACCTCAAAATAATAATTTTTCCGTTTTTATACATAATTATACTTAGATGCTTAATTAATAGAGATGTAAAATTTTTTTATTAAGATAATTGATTCAAAATCGAAATTGAAACAAATTTTATTTAAAACATTTTTTGATAAAAACAATAATTATTGAGATAATTAATTTTGATAGCATACTATTCAGAGGGAAATTAAAATTTCAAGTTAGCAAAAAATTGTATTAACAAACACTGTTCCTGAAGTAATTCTAAACAAATATTGTTAATAAAAATTTTTGATTTGATCAATAATTAAGAACATAATCTCAAAAAAATTTTTATATATATATTTTTATATATTTTTTTTATTGAGAAAATCGTTTTAGAATATAATTTAGAACAACTTTTGTATGAAATTTTCTGCTGAGAACGAGTGGAGGGGGTTAGTAACTAGCAATCGAAAAAAAAATCGTTTCCATTAGCACCCCATATTTACATAAACCGGGCCTCCGAAGCCCGTGTACTACTAGTTACTATAGAACAAGTTTCAACTTGTTCATTACAGGTTGAGGGTTATTATAATTTGTCAAACACTGCTGCGCGGAATTGTGCTTGTCTGTGCAAGTTAAAACGTGCATCACTGTTGGAGTGAGATTTGCTGATGAAGAAATATTGGTGCAGTGGGCAGCTGAATGTGATGATCTGCCTTCTGAAGAAAGTGATGTGTCAGAAGCAGAAAATGATGACACAGAAGATAGAAATTTCGAATTGAGTATTCTGGATCCAGTTCTGATCATGGTGACGATAATTCAGAGGATGATGTTGATGATATTGGTAAGCCTTCAACGCGTATTCAGATCATAGACATATTCAATTTAAAATTGACCTAGGGATGAAATCGGACTGTACGTACCGTAATCCCCGTAACACTGATAGGGATCTACTTAAGAGTTGCCTTGCACATAACCTAACTAATGTCATCGCAACCGTTAGGAACTGTAATCAGGTTGAAATAGCCACGGAGCAGATCTCTGTGGCAATTCGCTCTGCCTATTACTGTAGCAGTGAAAAGTAATAATCGGGGCACACCCTGGTGGAACGAATCTCTTAGCTTCGAAAGACAAGAGTTCCGGAGGCTTTTAATCGGGCCAAGACATTAGGTGAATGGGAGAAATATAAACAGGCTCTAACGAATTACACCAAAAACATACGTAAGGCAAAAAGAGAGTCTTGGAGGAGGTTCTGTGAGGGAGTGAAAGACACACCCAGCAGTGCAAGAATTCACAAGATTCTCGCTGGAGATCCGGCACTACCCTGGGCTCACTTAAGCGGTCTGACGGTATTTTTACGGACTCTAGCAGAGCCTCGTTAGAGCTTCTCATGCAGACTCACTTCCCAGGAAGCTTGATGATGAGGGCTGATAATGCCACAGCTGGCTATTCCTGCAAGGCAAAGCGCCCCTCAAATACGGATTGGAGTGTGGCTAGAAAAGTCGTCACTTGCACATCCGTGGACCAGGCGATTCAAACGTTTAAGCCGTTCAAATCGCCTGGAGAAGACAATATCTTTCCTGCTTTGTTACAGCAAGGAAGGTCGTTGTTGTTGCCAATCTTGGTAAAAATTTTCAGAGCGAGTGTCTTATATACCCAAAGCGGGCCGTTCGGTGCCTACTCCTAATGCCTTCCGACCCATCAGCCTAACGTCATTTCTGCTGAAAACCCTTGAAAAAGTTCTGGAACGGTATATCCGTACGGTGCCATTGGTATCTGGTCCACTGAAATGAGCAGAATTGGCTCTACACAACTTAGTTGGTAGAGTATCCAAGACGCTGTAGGATAAAGAAATCTTGGTTTGTGCGTTTCTGGATATAGAGGGAGCGTTCAACGAAGCAATACCACAATCTCTTGAAAGAGCTGCTCTTGACAGGGGAGTGGAAGCAAGTATAGCGGGTTGGATCCGCAATATGCTTGATAGTAGAATAGTTTCTACTTCACTCCACTGTGATACGATACGCTTCAGGCCGGGAGGTGGCTGCCCGCAGGGATGGTTGACGATCAGATCGACCTGGTTGACGATCTGATTGCGATAGTCGAAGCCGTTGGTGTAGAAATACAAGCTTATGCTGATGACATTGTCGTTATGGTCAAAGGAACCTGTTTGTCGGGGATATCTAAAGTCCTTCAGGAGACCCTAGATACCATTTGTACTTGGTGTAAGAGAGAGAACCTCTCAATAAATCCACAAAAGACAATTGTTGTGCCCTTCACCAGGAAACGAAAGTTGGATGGACTAATCCGCCTAGCTATCCAAGGTGAAGAAATTCCTTTCTCAAAGGAAGTCAAATATCTAGGAGTATTCCTTGACAAGACCCTGTCATGGAATGGACATTTGCAAGGAGTTTTGCACAAAGCTAGACTATCCTTGTGGACTTGTCGCAGTCTTTGATCACATACGGAGCAGCAGCAAACATTCACGAATTCAACGAGTAGCCGGATTGGAATCTCTGGTGCGATAAGCACAACGCCAACTCTAGCAATGGAGGTTCTGCTTGGCCTATCTCCAAAAAGGTCAAATTTGTTCCGACATGTGCGGAAGACATTATAAGCACTGATATTGTGCTATCAATGCCGTCAGATTTGGCGGTATCACTATCAGTGATTAATGCCCGATACCAGATTGTACTGCCTGAGCGGCAGTCCTGGATCGAAAATGAAAATTCTCTGGTTCAGGCAAACATTTGCTTGTACACAGATGGATCAAAAACGCCTGAAGGGATCGGAGCAGGAGTATACTACCAGACACCTCGAATTAAGCGAGCTTACAGCCTGGGTACGTACTGTACTGTATTCCAGGCGGAAGTATTTGCTATTGACATGGGTGCTAAAATCCTTCTTGAAAGAGGGGTGAAGAACATGACAGTACGAATTTTCTCAGACAGTCAAGCCGCTCTCCAGGCGCTGCAAGCTGTGAAAACGGTGTCGGCTCTGGTTAATAATTGTAAGAGAACATTAAACACACTCTGAGGTTGTTGGCAATGAAGCGGCAGATAAGCTAGCACGAGATGGCAGCGCTGAAGCGTTTGTGGGGCCGGAACCAGCAGTTGGTGTATCATTTGCGGTGGCCGAATATAGGATTGGATTGGCACTGCCGATTAAAAGCACACCTCAACTTGTTGGGTTTAGCCGACGATGTTGAATGCCGACTATGTGCGGAGGAAACAGAGACAGTTGAGCATGTTTTATGCCACTGTCCTGCCGTTAACCGTATCAGATTCTCGATTTTTTGGTCGCAGTTTATCTCCTCAAAAGATCTGAATGTCCTTTGACCGAGCAAGGTATTAATGTTCGTTAAGAGCATTGTACTGCACGGTGAAATTTGATAACGATATCTATCGGGGTACAATAGATCCTTAGGGTCGCGGTGCAAGGTTGGTTGGTCCAAGTGGTCTGGTATGGAGTTTGGAACCTCCAGCAAAAAAAAAAAATTCAACCACACAACATTATTCGGC